TGTGCAGACTCGGAGACTTGCCGGTGTTCAGAGCCCAGCAGTGCCCCAGCTTCTCCCTTCCAGCAGTTCTGGCCAGCCTCTCCTTTTTGCTTCACACTGCCTTTGTTAAACTATTGGCCCCTGACATGGAGAGGCTTTTCGAGAAGACTGGTTAGGAAGAAAGGAAACGAGATAAAACAGAATAGGTCACTTGAGAACACTTGCAGAAATTTTGTCTTTATTTGCTTGGTCTGGTAGCTTTGGAAGATAGGAACTCCACATGTTTTATGGTTACATTTATATAACAAATAAAGTCTTTAATTACAGTAACCCTTGCTTTCAAGGAGCCAGTAGGGAAGCCAAAGAAAAACAGGAGATTCTGCAGTCAGAGTAATAATGTCTGATAATCAGTAGTGTCACATAATCCTCTGAAAATTAAAAATGGAATAAGAAAGTATTTCCCTCATTTACTTAGTTACTGTGTAACCTTATCAGGGATACCATCCCTCATTTCAAACACTGTCGTGTTACCTATGGCAGCCTCYACCGTGGCAAAGAGTAGCACCTCCTGTTTTGTTTGGAAGAGCTTCCCTGCAGCCCCCCTGCCGTGCSGCAGCATCCCCCGAGCCCTGCGCTGGCTGACGGTCACGGAGAGCGCCGTGTCAGGAGCGGGGTACGAACGGAGTTGGATTTTTGAAGGGAAAATAGAACTTGATACTTCAGTTCCCACAGGGTACCACCACAGAGACTATTTTCTGTAAAATGAAACCAGTGGAGTGATGTTTTACACCACAATATCGCATAAAAGGCAAGACAGTTGGCCTGCCGATACTTCTACACAGACAAATTCCTCTGTCTCTGGACAGGTTCACATTTCTTTATCTGGCAAGCATAAAATGGTAGTCTGTGTACAAAGTAGCCTTCTCATTTAGGGAACAATTAAGCTAATCCCGCAAGATTTCATGTTTAAATAGGTTTGTAGTGAACAAGTCTGTAGCCTGCATTCAATCAAGCTCTTTTGACTTTCAGAAAATAAGGGCAAACCAGTATATATGAAATGTAAATTCTAAGTTTCCTGAGATGTGTGAGTCCTGCTGAAGTAAAACTATACATCTATTTGCTAAAACTTCGGTATTCTGTGAGTAGACATATTTCTTTAGTCTGCCCTTAATCTTCCAATTATGCAACATAAGCCTGTTTTTTTCATTAAAATTAATTGATGTCCACTAAAGCACTTGATAAATACATAACAATATGTATATGTGCACACATGCTCAGTAAAAGCTGCTGTTGGCTTGAAGGTAACATCAGCTGCACTCATGACAAGATGCAGGCTCTTGGCCTTCAAGATCTCACCTACTCAAAAGTGTGGTCAGGCTCTGGACTTTTTTCAGTGTGGTTTGAGCTGGGGTTGAATCCAGCTGTGGTCAATGATGGCCTGAATTCAATGAAGTCAAAAGAAGACAATAATTCAGGTTCAGTTCTGGTTTTTGACAAAACAATGGTTCGAATCAATCTTTGGTTTTGGTTCTACTTCCTGCTTAACAGCTGTGTAAAGAAAAACATCTGGAATAATAACCCAGCAGGGCCAATAACTGAGGCTGCTCTTTCATACTATCCAGATAGCACCAATAATAACAAAGCTTTCAAGCCAGTTTTCAACAACAACAATGAAAAAACCACAACCAAACAAGAAAATGTTTGTGCCTTGCAGTCAGTAGTAGCCAGGACTGCACATGGGATTTGGAGCATTCCTGCCTTCATTGGCACCAGGCAGGGAAACAGGACAGGAGCAGACCTGCTGTTCTGGCTCTGCAGGAAGGAGGCAGAGCACAGCTCATGCACACACAGCTAATTCCCTCCTGCAGTCGAGCTGGCGGCATGGCTGCCAGGTCCAGGTTTCTGTGAGCTCTCAGCTGTGACTGGGCACTGCACAGCATGGGCTGAAGCCCTGCCAGGGAGCTCTAACCCCCAATCCTCCCGTGAGATGCTGAATCCTTGATCTGACTGTCCCATTGGGCCAGCACTGCCTCTGGTTCCAGAGGATAGGAAGAGCTGTGTGCAGCGCATCTCTTTGCACCTTCCTGCTGCTCTGCTCGGCCATCTGCCACTTATTTTTGTGAGCTCCTTTGACCCTGGGACTACGTCTTTGCTCCATGGTCATTTGGTGCCTAGCACAGGCCACTCTGTATGTGGGGGTAGGGCTCCAGAAGCTGCATCAAAGTAGGTTTAGTGGGGAAGCACAACCCATCYAGGGCATACACCAGTAAATGTTCAGAGGTCACACTGAAAAGAAGCAGAACTGCCCACAATGGCCATTGCTTTAAACAAGAACCCCTGAAGCCAACACTGGCTGCATAAAATTCAGAACTGCTTCTGTTCTTTTTTACCACATGYTGCTCTCATGCATCGAACAGGCTASAGGGACCTCTCAGAGCAATTCCATTTTCTTGGGACAAAACACTGTTCAAGTCCTCTCCATCTGGAAAAAACACTAGCTCTTCACTTGCTTCAGGAACACAACACCCCAGTAGCCATTGGAAAGGAGGCAAAAAATGTCTGTATCAAATTTTTTATGTCTGCTTTTCAGTATCAGTTAATTATCCCTTTCCCCCTTCTTCTGTGACTGAATTCTTAAATTGAAGCTGCACAAGGGTGAAAAGAAAAACAATGAAATTGTCAATGACTAAACAGAGTTTGGTAATTTTGAGTTAGAGCTGTGATCGCTGTACTCTTGCCGCRAAAGTTAATGAAGTTAGAAGACATTAAAGCAGCATCTTGGACAATGTCACCAGGATCTGGAGTACTCCTCCTTCTGAATACCACATTTCAGTTCCAAATTTGGACAATTTTAGCATTTTAACCAATGACGATTTACTGGTGCTTATTTGTATTTACCAAGGAGGGAACAGGAACCGCAGCACATTTGCAGCTAGGTCTGACCTCCTGTTCAGTGATTTACCAAATCGAAGATTCATTTTCAGGGTAGTACTTGCATTTGTAACATTCTCAGTTCATCTCTGCCATACCCACAGACCCTCACTTCAAAACATGTACCTCAAGCTTCTATGAGTGTGTGTATAATCCTATAGAAAGCTTGTAACATCTTTGTTAAAACATAAATCTAACTTTCACTTGAAAATCCTTGGATGCCTTCTGGGTTTTTTTTAGCATATTCAAGTTCTGAATATTGATACAGCTACTGAAAAGAAAAGGATCTAATTACAAAGGAAATTGTGACCTAATTTTCTCTATTTATTTCTTATCAACAAGTTTTCAGATACGTTTGTGCCATTTGAATCCTTTTGGAAACCCTGAGGATATTTTTTTCCACAAACTGAAATGTATAGCTGGAAGCTTTGTGCTACTCAGTCCTTAAAAATTTGTTTAAACAGATGCAAATGTACAGCTGAAACAGAAGCAAAGTCTCAATAATCACAGATTTACCCTCTTTTTTGAAATGTTGGATGTCAGCTACACAAAGTACCATAGTATTTTATTATAGAGATGTAAAATCATTCCATAGTCTTCAAATATCCAACTTGTATTTCAGACACAGATATCAAGAGGGATATCTCCAGTTGTCTAGAACTCTAAATTCTCTCATTTGTACTGGCGTATAACATAAGACAAAATTTAAGACCAGACTGTAACTGTTTCCAAATGTTTTTGTGTGATTTTCTGCTGAAACTTCTGTTATCTAGCACCAGAATTCTTAAACAACAAATACACCTACTGTCTTCCTTTAATTTTGTGCTCAGACATTTTTCTGTTGAATGCTTGGTATCATACATTAATCATGGTAATATATGATAAATACTTAATGACTCTGAGAGCAGAAGGATCTTGGGCAAATTTCAAGTACAAATGACTTTAAGCACTRACACACAGAAAACTCTTAATCCTGTGGGGAAATGACTGTAGAGAGAGCAGTAGCAAAAACAGTCTAGATTACAACTTTAACATCAAATCTCTGAAGAAACTACTCATCCTTTGAAACAATGTCAAAAAAGCTAAATATGAGYTTTACTGAACAAAAAATTCTCCACACACAGTAGAAACCTGAACCGAAGTACATGTGGGAAATGCAGAATWGTGCACTGAAACAAAACAGAAGGGTCTTAAAAGTCTTCTCTCTAATCCTAGTATGTGTTAGGCTTTCTTTTTTTTATTCTGGAAAAGGCATAACACAATGCAAAAAGTAACTCAGTTCAAGCATTACTTTCTTTGAGTCCTGCAAATGAGCACAACCTCCCATGGGACTTGCATGGCCTGTAAGTGTATATGTCCTGTGAAACACTGAGTCAACAATGCATACAATAGTCCGAGACTTTGCTAGTCCAGATGAGCTGATATTTCAGTTTGATCCACTGACATAAGCTTTTCCCCTCAGAAAGAAAATGTTTTCTTATGGGATGGGCTACAGGAAAGGCTAAACATCAATTCTGAAGGAGAGTTGGGCAACTAAAATGAAATATTAAAAATTGTTCTTGTTCAAGGGTGCTTTATTTTTCCATTTGGAACATAACAGTTAGTAGAGTCCCATGAAATAATTTACTGCTTAAGCATTTTACCCTTTAAAATGCTTTAAAGTAGTTAAAGTAATTTTAAAGTAATTTTATTCATCCTGGAGAAGAGAAGGCTCTGAGGAGACCTTATAGCAGCTTCCAGTACCTAAAGTGGGCTACAAAACAGGGACTTTTTTACAAGGGAATGTAGCCATAGAACAAGGGGGAATGGCTTCAAGCTGAAGGATGGTGGATTTAGAGTAAGTATTAGCAAAAAATTCTTTACTRTGAGGGGGGTAGGACACTGGAACAGGTTGTCCAGAGACATTGTGGATTCCCCATCCCTGGCAGTRTTCAAGGCCAGGTTGTATGGGGCTCAGAGTAATCTGGTCTAGTGAAAGTGTTCCTGCAATGACAGGGAGCAGGGGGATTGGAATGAGATGATCTTTAAGGCTCCTTCCCATGCAAACTACTCTGTGAGTCAATTTACAATGAAGAAAAAAACACCTTCAGTGGTATATCAATAATTTATTGTTTTGCATAAGAAGGTAAGATCAGATTTCAGGTAAGACATCAACCAAGGACCTGATGTGAATTCAAGTATAGAGTTTGGTACAATATTAAAAATACTACCTTTTGTTTGACTACAGCAAACAGCTAGAACACAATAAAAACATCTGGACTTGACTGTCAAAACATACATTTCTCTAAAAACCCACACAGCACAACTTGAATATGTGGAATATTGGAAACACATTTAGTTGTCTTCGTTCCCAAATTCTTAGGAGTCAAAGGAACAATCCACCCCCCTGTTCCCCTTGGTATCCCAGAACAGTTCAGCACACAGGCTCAGCATCCGTCATGATAAGCAGGCTCCTGTCCTGTTGAAACTGTTGGGCGAAGACATTTTTTCTGCTTAGACCTCCTGTCATCTCTGCCTGCTTCTTCACGAGACACAGCTTTGATCTTTAGCTTTTGAAGCTAACACTGCAATAATGCTGATTTTTTCAAGAGCAATTTAGTAATGCAATTAAAACAATTTCTGACTCCTCCAAGACTCTGTGTACGTTTTACTCCGTTGGTTGGATCTATGTTTTTGAGATTCCCTTTCTTTTGCAGGTGTTACTATTCAGGAATTAGCTCCTGGCTCAGAGACGGGGCAGGCAGCCATCGGTCYGGGAGACTCCTGCCAGGACTGACAGCTCAGAGGGTCAGTGTCTCTGGCAATGCAGCAAAGCCCCATGCTGCTTACTGCTGCCCAGGACAGCAAAGCTGTGCACAAGATCCTCCTAGACCACACCGACCCAGGAATGGGAATTAAATTAATTTCAAAAGGACAGGAAAAACAGCCTGCAGGACAGCCAGAACCATCCCTACCAGGGAGTTTGCAGATTATTCTAGCATCTACTTCACAAAGACAAGAGCAGGTCCCTTATGTGAGCGTGACTRTACCCCAGTGTTTCAAGACAGCTCAGTTTAGAAGCAGTATTAACAGTGTTTTAGTGAGGACTAAAGCCTCTCCTATTGGAAATTACCTGTTCCTGAGAGATGCCAAGTGTTCTCTTGATTTTAAGAGACGGTGAAGGCACTTGGCRTCTCGCAGGCAAAGGCAAACTGACCCGCTGAATTCCGTATCCCCTGAAAAATAGTCTGATTTTCAGTAATTAAAACAAAATAGAAAGTGTTTTCTTAATTCAGATAATCTCTATGCAATTAATTTAAATTACAAATTCCTATTTATGTWACAAAAAAGTTTAAGTCCACCAGTAAAATGGTGAAATTTGACAGAAGTTACAGTAAAGCTGTTCGAGCAGAGCATGTATCCATACTGGGTCTTAGTACATCTGTAACTCTTGCATAAACATTCCCAGACTCCCAGGGATATTTGCTGTTGTTTCTTGCATTTCATTTGTTTTATAAGACTCTAAGCCAAATGCAATGGCCCACACATTAAATACACATTTAGAATAAAACTGCAAAATCTGATGGCTTTATCAGCATATGAACTGAAACAAAATATTTACATGGAATGTTGAGCTCCATTTACAGAGACTGTTTCAAATTACAGACTTAGTAATCTCTTTAATAAATGATCACATTGACAAGAAATTTAAAAACTTAACATCCCTTTTCAACCCTTTCATAAATATATAAAGTTTCACTAAATTCTTTTTTCTTTAAACCAGAGAGCTACATTCTCTTTACAGATTAACATGAAATAATGGTTTCCTGTTTGAATGCCACAGATGGGATGATCTAAAGTCAGCAAGTTCCTATACACATTCTGTACTTACAAGACATATTCACAACACAACACACAGGTCTTACTTGGTCTTTACATCTGTACTCACTTCCTGCATATCAGTAGTAAATAAAGAAAAATACCAAATTATCTATATTAAAAATACATCCTCTAATATACATTTGCTTACACTGACACATCAAATCTTAAAATGGGGTTTCCAGCTGTCTGACCAGTGACAAGGAGGTTTTTTACAGTGAACTCTACAGCATCAAATAATTTTTGAGTGGAGACAAAATACATGTTACACTACTAAAAAGTATCATGACATATTCAACAATAAAAAGAATTAATCTCTTTCAACTGCTTTTCAGATGTCCAAGGTTTCCTCAATGTTTGAAAATTTCTGATGGGAAAATTGTCATAAGGGTGCCAAAAATATTTCCAATCAATTTAAAGGGCTAAAAAGAAATATTCTCTACTTTGTTGCTATTCACATCATTTTGCCACTGACTTTACAGAAGTTTAATCCCAAAGACTTTGAAGTTATATACACACTAACTCACACTTTTTCCTATTTAAATACTTATTCCCATGACTTTTCTTTGTTGTGCCACAAAGCATGCGTGAAAATATTTTCAATCCATGCATGCTCACAGCTGAGTGTTTCACAAGCCACTGAATACATATTTCTTTCCATGATTATGTTATTGCAAAGGAATACTAGAATCAGTCTGTACAGGTAACACAAGGTTYACATCTAGAAAAGTAAAAACAAATTGATACATAATTAAAACTATGATGTCTTCCTCATAAAAATGTTGGTCACTTTTGCCTGTTTCAGTTCTCTCAAGCACTTAAAGGGCAATAACTTCCAAGTGCTGATGTGCTCTTTATGGGAACAGTTATGCTTAAAAAGTGCTGACCTCCAGCATTAATTTGTATCTTCTGCAAAACTCTGTTAAAAAGTTCACCTTGGAAACACACAGATGATGATAAAGAGGTGTTTGGCAGTTTGCTACAGTAGTATTAGCTCACTTTATGGAGCACAGTAAATCTCTGGTTTAATCTGACTGTTCTGCCCCAAACTGTGGGCAGGAGAATTGAAGACACAGGAAAACAAGATCAGTTCCAAGTGCATGAAGAGTATACCTGCTGCTCAGCAGAGTTAAAATCCCTCCTCCCAAGAAAATGGCCATTGAGTAAAGCCTAACCATGCCCCAGGTTCAGATTCTGTTACAACAGCAGAGGTTTTGTCTGCTTAAAACATCACTATGAGTGCAGCCAGCTGACGGGAACCCAGAAGGTCTCAGTCTCCAACCTGTCAAAAGTTGTTTTAAGCTCACTGTAAGCCGTAGCGAGGTCATCGTTGACTATCACCTTGTCAAAAAGGTGGCCGTACTGGCTCTCCATCACATGTGCAGATTTAATCATTTCATGAAAATCTTCTTCCTAGTAAGATCAGTGCAATGAAGATCAGTGCACAGCCAGTCCATAGCAACACTGCATAAACACATTCTGTACTAAAAGCAGTCTAATTGCTTATTTCTAATCTCATCTAGAGATGGAAACTGTATTTCTAATTTTAAAAAATATAGAAATTACCACTAAAAGTGATGTCAGAGAGTATTCTGATGAGTTGACTCTGCTCAACAGGCAATTCTTTCATCTCTCCCCATGTAGTGACACAATTAGTCACTGCGTGGTAATTACAGAGCCATTTTCTGTTAGCAGCATCAGTGGAAAATGTTTCTAGCTGTTTACTTTGATGATACATTTAAAGTTTCATTATGTTAGTCTCAGCTTGCTATTAGCACACCATGTATTACAGCACAGCCTTTTTTCTTTTAAGAGCTTGGCAGGAGTCATCATTCTATGCCTTGTTCGATATGGCTTATTGGATTTCTCTCCATGTCTGGGAAGGAACAAATCTTAGCAATTTGTTTGAGTAACTCTGACAGATTAAACCTGTCCTAACTAAGCAGTGTCCTGAAGGTTGCTCTTAAGAATAAACTCCTCTTACCTTTATATACTACAAACCAACATTTTCTTACAGCATGTAATTTCCAAACTATTTCATATGCACATTTTACACAGAGACAGTCTGTGACCATATCCATGACTCACTTTGAAACAAAACCTAAAATATTCTAAATTACATCTGAATGAGGAAAAATTATACACACTGTAAATACAGATGAACAGTCTAATAATGATCAACTTTGCTGTAGCTTCAATGAAAATATGATTTCTTTATATTACAAGGAAGCAAGTACATTAATGTTGGGTCATCTAAATTTTTTTCTGACTATTGGCAAAACCCAGCATTTGTTACTTGCTTAGATTTTTCTTTTTTCTTACAGTGTTAATTTTCTTAAAACATTTAAAAAACCCTCTGTTTCTCTTATCCACAAATAAGGGCTTTTTATTAAAGTAGCATTTACTTTTTTAATTGGTTCTTTACATTTGAACTTCCCTCTAAATTTAGACCACTTAATACAGTTGGTAAATAAATTCTTATATTTGAATAGAAACATCTAAGCCCAGGTACAAATTTTTGAAAGAAATGCATAGCACTATCTTTTATAAAGATATGCTTGCATTGTAGGGGTCCTTCAATGACATAAAATCAGAGAACTATGGAAACTGTAAATACCCATGAGCGTATCAAACAATGAAAACACCACAGTAAATGTGTAATGTGAGAGAGGTTGGGAAACAGTAAGATGCTGGTGTAAGCCCTGACAAGTGCTGTCAATGAGATCCAGTGATCAGCTTTATTTTCAAGGTAAACTGCAACAACAAAACTCTTAACATGAGGTTCTCATGTTTTACTGTATCTAATTATACTTACTGTAAAGGGTTTTGCAGTTCCCTTGTCATCTTTACTTGAAATAATCTTGGCATTTTTTCTGGTCTCTCTCAAACGGTCAAGTGATGGAGGCTTTATAAATATAACAAATGGTTTAAACTCATATGTCCGTAAGTGTTTCACTGTCTGGGAAGAGGAAAGTTTTTAATTAATTAGYTTATTTTGCACAATGGAATTTACTGTAATAAAAGAAACTCCCCACTGACCAAAATAAACCCATAAACCACTTCTAGGCAGGTATTTTTAATTTACTGCCATCCTGCTCTGCTGACCAGCACTGATTCATGTAAGGAGAATTTTCAGAATGGTAAGAAAACCATTTCTCCATGGGTGATTATAGGTCTTGATTTCCACATGACTGCTGGTAATCTCTATCAGACTGGCAAAGGCTGAGTTGTGCACACCAGTGCTGCTGGCAGCAAGAGGACGGAGGGGAACAGCAGGTATTCAGGGGAGGAGGGAAAGTTCAACCTATTTTAGCAAGATTAACCCTTTCGTTAMCCATAAAAAGTAGAGGAAAGAGGAGTCTGTGTCACTTGTTCACAAAAGGTCAATGATTTTTCTCTTCAATACTGTGTGCCCATCACCAAGCTCCCTGCTGTTCACTCTTCCTGAGCGAGTTATGTTTGGTGTTAGAGGCAGGTCTATGATTCAGTTGCAGCGTGGGGTCGTATTATGGGTGGTCAGAAGCTTTCCAGAGTCCACAGGAAAATCCCATGGTGGAGAGTGGGATCCCAGAATGGTTCACAAGCTTGGGTTCCCAAAGGCATTTAGTGCTTTGCAGGAACACAGRGCTGTGTGGGACAGGCAATGGTCTTGTCAGCTCCTCTCCTCCCCCAGCATGGGGTGTGGCTTCTCTGGCCACTCCACTGCCAGTGCAGCCCCTGCCCTGTGCCCAGGGCACAGCCCCACATCTGAAACTGCTCTGGGAGCTGTGCACAAGATGCCAGCCTTCAGAAGCCATACACTGGCCACCCTTGGAGAAGAGATGTTTTGCCTGTTTAAACAAACTAGTCCAGCTCCTGAAAGCACTGTGGTTATTAGAAGCAAAAAAAAAATTCCCAGTGGAGCTCTTCAGAGGGGTTGAAAGACAAAGTCAGTGAAAAAAAAAAAGTGGTTTAGAGAGGAATGTTCTTAACAATTATCCAGCCAACATCACATTTAGTGCGTTTCCTTGACTTATGTTCCACCCTGCATGGAAACCCTTGGCATGAACAGTATAGTGAAACATGGGAGAGAAAGTTGCTRAACTGGGTGATAACTCAAAGCTATTCTGAAATTAAAGTTTTAGGGACAATCTYTTGCCCAAACTAACAGAAAGATGAATGGAAACATAGCATTCTGTAATTAAATCTTTGGTGTTTTGCTGCAGGCTTCSTTATTTATTGGCTATATATTTATCTCCTTTCAGAGACCCTTGCTGAGAGAAAGGTACCCAGCAAACCTACGCAGTAGTCATTCAGTATGGGATAAAGTACACTTTGTCAGAAGTATTTTTTTCCTGGAATTCCAATATGCAATATGGGGAAGTACAAGAGTTCAGAAGACATGCTTACTTACATGAGGTTGCACATCCAACAAACAAACTTTGTTTTTAGCTAGAACTGATCGAACAGAGTCTAAACTTGTGCCATAGTAGTTGTTCTTATACTCGCCATACTCGATAAACCTGTGGCAGAAGGTGAAAACAACTGGAATCATTTCTATTTTCTCCAGAAAAAAAAGCTTACCAGTTTGCTTTATAAGATTCAATTCAGGAGCAAAAATATTTTACTTTACATGAGAGTTTTACCATGTTTTATGAAGGAAATGCTGTCAAGTACTTCAGCATGTCAATTTTAAGAAATCTTCGACTTTACCACTTTCAAATCAGTAACACCTGCTTGTATTACAGTTAAAGAGAAAAAAGTACTGTAGTCCAACAGCCCACTAATGTTTTCCATCACCTCTTTTTCTGAACTAATGCAATGCAATAAAACATTGGATAAGCTAAACAATAGAAACTACTGAAATTTCATTGCACACTACAGAATATCCAAATTCTGTGTCTCAGAAGAGGAGGAGGAGTGACGACAGTGCTGGTGGAACCAAGGCGGCTGGTTATTTGCTATAAAAGTACAAGTGCTATTTGCCAGAAAAGCAAAGCACAGTTTGAAGTTTCAATAAAACCCACAGCTTTGTGTCTAATACACTTTTGCCCTCTGAAACTGGGGAAGAATTTCAAGCTACAGAATTTTACAGGCTGCTAGAGAGCATGATGCTACCATTGTCTCTTCATTTTAGTTTACTCTCTGGAAGGCAAGGGCTTCACTGTAGATCTCTAAATTCAAAAGCAGAGGAAGTGCCTAGCCTGAAAGAGAGCAGAACTATGCAAACATTGACTCAGGCACGTCTGCAGCACTTCCACACTCCCCCTTCCCTAGAGCTGCAATGCTTTACTGCTATGACAGCAGATGCTCTATTAAAAGAATGCTCCCCCATCCTAAGCACCTATAATTTCAGGGTCTCCTTGAGAAGCTAAGGTACTGAAACTACGTGAAAGCTTAGAAACTGTTGTGTTTGCATATACTGCCTTTTTTTTTTTTTTTTTTTTTTTTTTTTTTTCCAGCTGCTTATATAACAAAATGTGATTTTAACACATCTTCAAATCACTGCAACTTATATCCAGTTTGACTTATTATTTAAAATAACAACCAGCCCCATTTTATAATAAAGCCATTCTTTTAACTGCAGTTCTAGTTAAAAATCTATTCAACATACTTGTTATTCTGTACGTCTGTCTCAAACAAGTGCTTGGAAATAAAAATGTATTCGACACCATCACTTTCTTGGCTTCTCCTTGGTCGGGTAGTGTCTGCAGTTTCATCATATAAAAAAAAAAAAAAAAGGAAAATATGCACAAAACAATATAATGCAAACCAGCTCAGGAACAACCGAAAAGCACAAACTCTTTGTGCAGTACTAAGCGTAGCACTTCCCTCACTTCTGAAGCACATAAGGCTGCTCTGGATCTGGGTCTAGGCAGCACACAAGCACATGACATGATTAAGTATTAAATGCATGCAGGAAAAGCAGGAAAAAACCTATTGGACAAGTATCAGATTATCATTTTTTATTAACTAGTGGAAAAATCCAAGAAATTGAGGACAGCTGAATAATAAAAGGAGCAGCAGTCCATAACAATTACCCCAGTCTTGCCTCTTGTTAAACTTATTAGCATATGAGACCATAAAGAGTAACAAAGCACACCATCCTGATTTATAAAATGTTATGTTCATTAACAACACTTGTAGCTATGGTATGTGAAGCATGATAATAAAAAATGGGGTGCGAACTTTATGTTTTAGTGCTTTTCTTTTTCTGGTAATCAAAATAGAATTTAGTTTTCTTTCAGTAGCCTTGTATTATTTGCACTTCTGACTTTCCCCAATGTAGGCATAAGGGTTTTGCTTATAAATGAAACTCATATGTAGGGTTGCCACTCGTGACTAATGAACCCATTAAAACATCCTATTTTGAACAAGTTGAATATTACAGTATCATGTATTCTYCATCACATATAGAAATACAAAACCTGCTTCCAGCAACACAGTCTCAAATGCCACTTGATACAGCACTCTTCTTCTTAGGCTGACACGATGAGGAACATTTCCAAGACAGGAACCCCAGTTCTCTCTCCAAGTCCTGACTTACTGAATTTCAGAGACAGGGATTTCTTTACATGTTTGTTTTAAATTATAACCACAAATTTGGAAGAGAAAGAGAGAAGGCAGCTTGATGAATACTGGCAATTTTTAGAGAAATATTTTTGGGCAAATGATTGCATACACTTCCATGTGTTAAATATTTTGGGAACATCTGGCTTTTTTGTTGTTGTTGCTTTCAATACCCAGTTGAAGAAAATATATGCAAAAGAAATGACTTGCCAAACCAAATGCATTAATTTTTCTACTTAGCAAACTCATTCATTTATATACACTTTACAGAATATCTGCATTTGCAAAAAATCTGTAACAGTATCTCCCAAATTCAGAATGCTGGACCCATATTTTTGAAGGATCCCTACAGAAGGTACAAGTAGATATGAAAGCAAGAAATTGAAGTCTGCAACTGTTGAGTTCTCCATATCAAAGAAAATCCAACAAAATATTGTAGCATTTAACAGAGCACAATGTTATTCAACTTTATGAAAATCACACTACTTAGTCAGACAGGGGAAAGAGGAAAAAACTTCTCCTAATCAACTGTTCTAAAGCTAATCAAAGGGATTTAATTAATTTTTTCGTTGGATTAAACTGTTTATCATCAGTCCTTATTTTTCAGCCTAACGGATAAAGGCCAGTTTGCTGAATGCAAGCATTGGTAACAGAGCACATTTCACTGCTTTACATTCAAATCCAGGATGTTCTTCAGCTGAGTTTCATTTCCTAAACCTCACTGACATCAATCATGCTAAACTTGTACTGAAAGTGTACTGCAATGCCTCTGAGCCAAAATGTCCTATCAGTTTAATCAATATTATTTAATACAGAACTGCAGCAGCACTTTTAAAAATTAGAAAAGTAATTTGGATGCCAAGCATGCATTTAGAGACCCAAATCTTAAAGTATCTTAAAGGCAAGATAATAATAAAGGTTAAKAATGCAAATATAGACAATAGAAGTGCATTTTTACTTACGTGGCACTGTTACCCCATAGTGCTGGGTATCACTGATCAGCAATTTCCGTTTAAGTTCATTCAGTCCAACCCCTACAGGGCCTGAAAGAAAAAAATTGTCCTGTTTCCCAACAGCCAGTTGTCTCTTGTCTTCAGGTGCAAATATGCTCCAAGGTAAGATTTCATAGCATAAAGCTGTGACATTACTACCTTTTAATCAGTCATTTGGAAACACCCATGGTTCCAGCCTCTCTTAGAATATAAAGTGCTGACAAATGTTAGGGGAGTAGYTGGCAGTTACTCTACTCTGACTTTATTACTGAGGAAAGATCAGTGAAAATAAGTTTCCAGCAAAGCTAACTTTCTTTTGTACAGCAACCATCAGTGTGCATCCTTCCCCACCTCAGCCCTATTASAAACCCCTGCATCCCAACCTGCAGCTTTCCAGAACAAAAACTGGTTTGGCTGGTGTTTTTTTGCCAGAATATCCCCAACTTTCARACTAGAGGACCCCAGCTGGCATGTGCAAAGTGCCCCTAAAGCTTCTGCACTTCATGTGTCAACATGGCTTCACTCCCTCCTGCTGCTGCATCCCTTGCCTGCACTGGATGTCCCTAGGGACAGTTGCTTCCACCTTCTCATGCCCTGGAAGCACTGCTCCTTCCAGCCCCTGCTGCAGGCAGGCAGGAACACTGCCCAGCTCCTGACTGGCTGTAGCTGTCACCAGCCACCTTCTGACTGTGTGAGGGTGGCATTGCATGGAGAGAGGAAGGAAGGGCAGCACTTGCCAGGTCACAACCCATTTGGGATGTTTGGGTTTCTTTCTTTGTTGTTGATTTTCTTTTAAACTGTGCTTGTCTCCTGCCTGCTGTCTGAACTGGTCCAAAGCAAATGTTTCCTTCTTCATGCGACTGCCAGAGACCACTCTTGGAAAGAGGATGGCAGGAAGAAACAAAGACTGCATGGAATTTTTTTGACCCGTCTCCTCCACCTCCACTTGAGTACTGCTGTACTAGAAGCTACTGAGCAGACGTTCCTCTTGGCTTTCAGGTTGTCCCTAGCTCTTAGCTGTTTGTCAGTGGTGCCTTGGGTCTCAGTGTGGGCAATTTGTCCTATGAGGTCTCAAAGGCTCCACAAGCAGCTGCCGCCTGTCCYCAGGAGCCCTTCATGCAGGGCTCCAGCCTGCCTGCCCACTTTGGTGACAGGGCCATGTTGCTCTGTGTGAAGGGAGCTCAGCTCTGCATCTTCTTATGTTTCTGACAATGGAGAGCCTTCATTTCCACAGAACCAGGTCAACAGCAGAAGGCAAAGGAGAATGAGCCATTGGGACCATAACCCAAGTAATGCAAGGATAATACCTGTTGTTTTAAGGAAAATTCTTGTGCATCTAGTAAAATTGACACATTTATGTATGGAGTGCTTCTTAACAAAGGCATTTTAAACACTGTAAATACAAAATCTAATAAACATTTCAATGAAATAGTGTTGTAACTGGTAATTACTAGTCTGAGTCCAAAAGCAGACTGATGCTTCAGTACCTTCAGGTGCCTGTTTGTAAAAATGGCCAAACACCTTGTCTGAAGTTGAAACACATAATGATGAAAAGCAAGTGCTTGCTACTTTACTGCTACCCCCAGACTTGATGTAAAATCTTAAGAGTTTCCACATCTAAAAGTTCTGTGTGTTCACTTCAGTTAAACACACAAGCACATTTCAAGTTGCATCTCTGACCTTCCTGTAAATTAATCTATCAGTATGTATAAATGTTTATTTAATATGGTGTACAGCAGCCTCTACTGGTGCATGTCTGCAGAAGACAGCGATGTGTTATGTAGATAATTGCATTACTTTTGTTATAATTTACTTTTTTTTTTCCTTTTTGTAATAGTTTAGTTATTTAAGGCAAATGTGGATTTTTACAGGAAAAGTAATTAAAACTCTTAATACATCCTAGCAAAGTAAACCAAACCAAATGGAATTCAGTTTTAAAAAATCCCTCTATTGCTTTTAAGAAAAAATCTTTCCCATCAAATCTATACAAATATTATTTCCTCAATCTCCATGCTGTCAAATCAACAGTATGCTTTTAGCTCTATTTATATATATAAAGAATCCAGGCTTCACTTCCTGCAACACATGSTTTGGAAACTTAGCTCAACTCTGTTTCCAGACCACAACTTCACTAATACTGTCTCCTCTTCCAGATTACCATTTAAAAATAATCTTTAAATTGAACTACCGAAAGGTGTAGWTTCTTCTTTTTCAGTGCTGCCTTCACAGAGTTCTTGTAACTGTAGCATGTGGTCACTGAAGGCTGATTGCAGCTCAGCAAAGCCATGCATTATGAGGATTTTTACACTACCTCTCCCAAGTGTAATACACACTTCCCTTCAAAATATTCTTTTCATTTTGATGCAACAGAGAAAGATGCCAGTTTCTAATAGTTATGAATCTGAATGAAATTTGAACTCAAAAAGAGAATAAAGTGTCAGAATTTACAACAACAATYCAGATTCTTGTAGTCAAATGTAAGGCATGCAGGATCCATTACTGTAGTRTAGTTTTGGTTTACTATAAATCACCCCAGGCAGCAATATTTACAGKTATGGTGACAGATTTAGAGATACTTTGTTTACTTTTTTCAAGGAAYGTTTGTGCTGCTTGGTGTTGCATGTTTAGTGATGTTAATGGTCAAATCCTGAACAAGTGGACTACAGTGCCTACCTCACTTTACTAGGGGACAGAATTAAACTGCCAATCACTAAAACTTGCGMTAAATTTTGAGCCACTCAGACATGTCTGAAGAAAACTGAAAAAAATGTTTGATGTAAGTTTAGAAAGGTTACCCTTTCCAAACCTTTGTGAACCCTCCCTGGAGGGTTAAGCCAACCAGCCATTCTTCCCCATAGACACACACTGTGTTCCTAGCAGTCTTTTTGAAAGAAAAATGGTCTTTCAGAAAAGATTTTATGAGCTAGGTGACAATATCCTTGTTGGGATCATAAGGATCCAGTAGGAGATATGCTTTGAGAAAGGGTCTGTGGCTCAGTTCCTAGTGCACTATAATGCAATGACTGTACATGCGTTTTTGACTGTAGCTCAGTGTGGTAGGAAAGGAAAATCTTATTGCTTTGTGTTTCAGTATATTTTGATAAGCTGTGGGAGTGTAGTTTGAGATCTGCTGTTCACTGAGGTAGGATCAGTGAGTTCACACTGGTGTTCTCATGGGCAAGGCTAGGTACTATGTTACATCCTACGTATTTGTTCCTGAACTTTGCTGACCTTCCCATACTTTCAACCAGGAAAGTTTAATGCAGATAGCAATTACAGGTCTATTTCTTCATTGTCTAATTAGTTTACTGGAAGTAGCATGGCCATGGTAGGTCATTTTCCTGCACTACTGCTGTAGGTCAGTTAAGACTCTGCAAGCCACTACAGAACATATTAAAGCTAAGTCAGGAGATACGGAGWGTTGAAAGCCTTTTTCGTTTCAGCTCTGAAACAGGTCTGGCCTCATCATGGTAAAACCAGAGGTGATGGGTTTTAAGGAAAGATTTAAGCAATACGAATAGAGAGCTTTTCCAGTCTCAGATTTCTTTTCTTCGCAGTAGTGACCAGATGCACACCTTTGTGAGAATTACTGACAGTCTCATTCAGAGACAGAGGCTTTTCCGATCCTGTCACAGATCAATAACAACTTCTCCTTTATGGTTACACACCTCTGGTCCTTGCTTCCACCACTGCCCACTTTGGACCACGGCATCTGAAAGGCTCTGCACACCTCTAGTGATCACACTGCCTGCACAGAACAGTTCTGGGGGCCAAATGCTCATGACAACTTCGCTTTATCCTAGCACTGCCCCTTCAGAAAGCTCTTAGCTGAAACTATGACAGATAAAGTTATAGTGTGTAACACATTCATTCTAACTTTAAGTAAGTAAAATTTATGCTACTCTGGCTGTTACAATTAACTACAGCAGAAGACTTTGTGAGCAGAACTTATCCCTCTTTAATATAAATGAAAATTCTAGTGTCTAAATAATATACATTGTATTAAAATGTTCTGCCTTTGATAACATGTAGAATGCAGGAAACATTTCTGATGGAAGATATTAAGGATTTCTTGGCAGTTTACAAACAGTAAACTGYCAACAGGTGACATAATATTGGATAATTTTGTTTTCAGCAGACTCATCACAAACTTAACAATTAAAAGMACATAGAAATGTTTGTATCATTACTGCTTCAGATGAGTTAATTTTAGCCCCAAGGATTTGCAGGGCTTTATTCATGAACTTACATCGGCAGACAAGGTAAATCTTGTCAAACTGGTACATTCAGCTGAACCTGACAGTRGTGTGTACCACACTACAGGGCACCAAAATTACTGTATATGCAATTTGTGTTTTTTAAATTAGATTAGGCCAATTCAAAATGAAGTGAAATTTGTTTCAAAGTTGTTAAACTCCTTCCCCCTAAGACAAGGGAAAAATCAAACTTAAATACCCTCTTTTAAACAGTAAATTACACATTTAGACCTAGCMTAACACAGCAGACATCTAGTGCCCCCACCAATTACAGTTATTATTTAATTATATGTCCATTTCTTTCCTGGTTCTACTATTCAAATTATATTCCATGTATTATATGGAATGCAGCTACTGGCACACAAAAAGCTTTTAAAATGTGTTCACTTCTACTATACCTGTATTGCTTAGCTCTGCTAGTTTTTCCACATTTTGCCCAAGACATTTTTATGGTATTGGCCAGACTTAAGCTGCTCTTAATATCCAGAGAAAAACATTAGAATTACTGAAGTCTGCAATAAATTTCTGAATTGCTTTTGTTACTGAAAAAGCAGTCTTTCTTCATTTGATTTATTACAACAAAAATCAAATGGAATCTCTAGGCATTCCCTAGATCAGGCATATGCAATTTGTTATAAAAAGTCTACTTATCACACTTTTGCACTACACTCTGTGGATGTAACTGTAAAATCAACTCAACCATGTTATTACTTGTTGTATATAGCTCACAATCTCACAGTGATCACACTAGTAGGTGGCTGATTTTTAGTGGAAAGTGACAAAACTGTTTATTAAAAACTAAATTTAATGTTCCCTTTTATATGAGCGACATAAAARCAAGCTACTCAAGAGTTCCTAACAGTCCCTGCTAGAGGGTCATATTTCTCTGCTCTGATGCTTTCAGAATGAAAGAAATTTTACTAATGAAGCACCAGCCTACGTGCTACTGCCAAAGAAACAGTAATCAATGAGACATTACACACTAGTAGCAATAGTTACTCATTACCTTTGAAAAGCTTAAAATAATGTACTTTCTCTCTTTTTGGGAGACTGAAGCAATGCATTTTGATTATATAATAAATGCTGTGAGGAAGCCACRGCAGTGACAGATTATAGAAGAACAGAAAGCTAACTAAGGATAATAGGTTGAGTCTTCCTCAGCTATGCTTACATTCACCCTTGGCCTACAGAGGTCCATCTTGCATGCACCTTTCTTACTACTTGTCCACTTACTTTTCCTAATGCAGTAGTTGGTTTCGTTTCTTCCCACTTTTATTGTCTGCCTTCACTGACCTCAGGTATTCATCCTGTTCTTTTTTTTTCTTTTTTTTTTTCTCCACATAGATATATTGATTGATCTCTAAGATATATTGATTATCTCTAAGAGYAAAATATCAACATAATTCTTTTGAGCTTTAGTACAGTTTGATTCCCACATGCAGACTTGTAACCATGGTAGCTGTATTTTAATGTAATCTCCCCTTGGTTTAGGAAAACTTTAAACACAGCCCCCTAAAGCATCCTCATAYGCAAGTTGGCACATCCTATCTAGAAAGGTGGAGTACTAGACATGTGAAAAACTGGAGCATGTTCAAATGGAACAGTTTATTGGTTGGTGCTCTAGGACTCATTACAARAGGAGCTCCCTGGGACATAACTGTGTTTCACATCTGCACCAATGACACAGAAGGGCCCTTAAAAAGCTTGCCAGTGCCAAGATGGGTGATACAGTGACTTGCTCAAGGAAGGGCAGGACTTCCATACAGAGGGCTATAGGCATACACTGGCAGAACTTTGCGAAAGCTGATGAAGACAAAAGTCCTGCATTACAGGCTGGGGACTCAGTGGCTGGATGACAAGGACCTGGGGGTCCAGGTGGGCACAGCTAAGCACGAATTCCCAGCACTGGCTGGCAGCAATGCTAGCTAACAGGAGACAGGGCAGTATCAGCAACAGCCTGGCCTATTGGCAGAGGAGAATGATTCTTCTCCTTCACTCAGCACTTGTTAGACCCTCTGAGGAATACTCTGTCTGCAACAAGCCCTACGCTACAACACTGTTGATAAACAGGATCAAAGRCATCAGAGGGCCTCCAAGATGGTCAGAAGCCACAGCACATGACCTGTGAGAGAGACTGAGGGAATTGGACTTCCCTAGCTTGGGGAAGAGGTGTCTTCAGGGGGACCCAGGAGCACCCTTCTGATACCCACTGAAAAGATGGAGGCCAGCTCTTTACWGAGGTTTGAGGTGGGTAGACAAGAGAAGCAAGAGGAGAAGACAGGTTCCCAAAGTTACTGCCATCACAACTGCTCTGAATTTAGTTTAATCTTGCTCAGTGGGAAGCTGGACCAGGTGACTTCCTGAGATGCCTTCCAGTCTAAATGACTGTGGCAAGCATTGTGCTAATCAGGAGGTCTCTGTTTTACCAGGTCAAAAACAAAGAAAAGAACTTACCAACCAAAACAACAAGCCTGTATTTGTCGTTAGGTTGTCGTCTATATTTTGCAACTTCTTCATASGTTGGGATATCTGCTGTATCATACTGATCACTCTTCTTGCACTCATACATGGACTTGTTTGTTTTTTTATCTTTTCTGCTAAGACGAAAGCTTCTTCTAAAACCAGCTGCAGCAAGAACAGGGTTTTTTCAAAGTAAGAAAATAAGTCTTCTTAAAACATTTGGAAACAGACTCTTCCAAACATTGAAGGATTGGAGCATGGAATAAAACGTGTATTATATGTTTAATAAGCCAGTCATTAGAATGGCATTTCCCATGTTTTTAAAYTATATCAGGTACCCATTTAAATGGCAAAATTAAGATCACCAAAAAAACCATAACCTTGACAACAACAAACTGCAAAATATAATTGCAATAAATTGTTAATATATTTAGATTATTTAGAAAATTTGAGTATCTTATAAATTAATGTATATATACAAGGCAATTMATGCAAGCTGGACTCCCATACCACATCTAATGCACATTTATTAAATCACCATGGCACACAGACATCAAACACAACATATGATAGAAACACATCTGGTGGTTGAGAAGGTTAATGAGAATTAGTTCATTAAACAATTCTGTTGTGCTTAGTTGATARTATATTTAAAAAGTGCATTAAACCTTTCCTGAATATGTATAATAGTCAATCCAAGCACTCATAGTAAAATTACAAAATACTAGAAAATCTTAGACAAAACAGTACCCATATTATAAAATAAAAAGTTAATATTGCCATTAAATCTGTATTTGTAATTGTATCAATTACAAATGTGTCTAGAACACATCTGTAGTGTCTTCTAGGTATTTCACACCTGAAATTTCACATAGCCTTTAAGCCTTAAGACTCTGAAAGGAGAAAATCATAATATATTTTCAAGCAGAACAGCACAAAAAACCCGTTCTATACTATATGTTAAAAACTAATTTACTCCTTTGTTAATGATTACCTTAGAGTTTTTCAAATAATTCCTTTATATTGCATCACATTAAATTTTACTGGTATCTCTATAGCACTACTTTGGTTCTATAAGGAAGTATAGGAAAGACTTCAAAGCCTGCAAAGCTGATTTCGTTATCCGGTGGTAATAGAGTAAAACACAAACTATACTTTAAATTCTGGAAAAGTTAGGGCTTTTTCCCCAGAACACTTCACAGGACAGTAAACGTGTGTAAACTTCTGGTGACCCCAGATTTACAGTAAAATATTTTCAYATTCTTGCAATAGCACTTATATTTAGGTGTTTGAGAAGTAATCATACTACAATTTCTTCTTCAAAGGTAGTAGCATGCAAGTTCAAGATTCACTTCTGGAAATAGAATCAGATCTGAAGAGAAATGCTACAAGRTTTAGTTACATAGGCTTAGCATGCACATACACAGTTTCATTGAGCATAAAACATCACAGAACCTGGACCACAGAGGATGTTAACCACATTATTTAATTGATGTGAGCCCGTATACCTATGGGAATCTACAACACAAACATACACACAAAAGGTGAAGAAAAATTTCTTTGAGAATACCATGATGTCAATCTATTCATATTCAAAATACAAGTAAGTAAAACAAAAATCTGTGACAAAGTGAAAGAGCTAGCATCCACAGAAAGGCCAGATAATATTTTAAAGAAGTACCTATATATAAGTATAGTCTAGAATAAGTAAGAGGTGGGCTGACATAATGAAATAATCTGGGTTACATTGTTTTATTATTTAAAGAACACTAACCATGAAGTGCCTGCAGTGAGAAATAGAAATGCCCTATAGGAGAGGCTACACACCCACAAGAGGGCCTGGGAGATCTTGCCTGCCCTATGGTGAAGTCCATCATGACATGATGTTCTCTTGTTCATAATTATGCCTAAGTGTATAGACAGCTATATAAAGAAAGGTTAAAAGTAGCTTTAGCAATACAGACTACAGACAGTGGAGTTACAAGTTTTCTGAGGCCTAATATAAAATGCTCCAGATTAAAAACAAACAAACAAAAGGAGTTGCCCAAAAAGCTGAAGATTATTCTCTTGGTTTGTTTTTTTTCTTCCCTGTATCATTATTTTATGGAAAAACAAAACATGGAGAAAAAAYAAAGAATAATTCTTCACCATTGACTACTAAATGGTTTACAAAATTAAAGCTTTGTTASAAAACCAAGAATCTACATATCTGAAAAAGGTAAAAAGTAAGGATAATGATCAAATGAAGCTAAATCAATGGTTTCCATTCCAGTTTGGTGTCAACCTTACAATTAACAAGAGCTCCATGTTCCTGAACAGCTGTCTCAAAGTGCTATTACCAACAGCTTCTCAACCTCCACTTAAACGTTGAACTGTGCAATCTTTAGCAAAAGTATTTTTTTCTGCAAAATCTTCGTATCAATTCAATCCTCACTTTTAGGTTTCAGTAAGAGCATTTGTAACTTGTTGCTCTTCTCTCCAACCAATTTATTCAGATTTCATTACCAAACTACCAGGTGGCTGATTATTTGAGAATTTTTATTCCTTTCTTTTCTTCAAAAAGGAGAAAATCTTTCAGTGCCRTCTTCAGGTTGGTTTGTCCCTTGTCACTTTTACAGGCTCCTCAGAAAACATAACAAAGACTCAAGTGATATGATTCCACTGCTAACATATGTTTCCTYGAATAAAATATTTGGTATTTCTGCCACTGAAACTCACTGGGAAAATGAAAATAGTAATATTGTCCTGAATGTTAAGAAAGCTCAACAAGTGTTCAACTAGGACTTAGATATTACAGAAAACAAAATACACTAATTAAGAAGAAACATGTGAGACAAAGAAAGCAGAGAAGGGMTGACTTCTCTGCAGTGTGCTGGGGAAGATGCTCTGTGAAACTACTGACTAATAAAAGTTTATGATAAGCTGTTTGCTTCACCACTTTAGGACTACTGTCAATTTGAAAGTTTTTTAAACTGCTTCTCAAAGACCATCTGAATAGCTCCATACAGAAACTCAAGAAAGCTTACTTTAAACAGTGCCCAAACTCAAGGAAAAGATACAGTTCCAAGAGAAAGGAGGAGACTGTTTCAAATATATCCAAAACTTTTATGATACTGCTGCTGCATTGCTGAAAGCATCTTCATCCTTCATTGCTCATCATCTGCCATTATATGTCCTCTTATACATGGCATAACTTTACTGTGACCTATAAACTATTTTATAGAAATGCTAATAAGTATTTTCTATTGGAAGTCTGCATTTGTAATTGCATTTTATGTTGGGCAACTATGACTGCACAAAAATATTAAGCTAAACTAAAACAATATTGTACTTGCAAGGAATAAAAACATTTATGAAAAAAATACTCTAGTAATGTTTACATATTTTATAGTTTTGAAAATATGAAAACCAAACTTCATATATTTAAAGCATACATTTAGAGCATCATTAAAAATATAAAGACAATTAGTACAGAGAACCAAACCCAATACTAATATGCAATAGAGTTTCTATGAAATGCCTTAGGTTAAAAGGAAATTTCCATAAAGAACAAAAGGAAAAAGCATTGCTTGCCTAGAATWTTTGATAATATAAACCTTGATGAATATGAAAGGAGCTGCAGGCTACACAGTCTGTGGAATATGGATATCAGCAGAGATTAACCTTAGTTGCCAAGTATGCAGACTATAAAATAAAAAGGGAAAATTCTGTCTCTAAAGCAACATAATCTCCTGAACACCGAGAAGCTTGCACCAGCTCATTGGTTACAGCTACATRACTAGAAGCTTACTGAACATGCAAACCCATAAACTACGGCTGGAATGTAACAGATTTAGTGAAATARGAGCAGGCTCTGGGAAGAAAATATTAAGAACAAATGTCCCCAAACTACCGATGTCTTCAAAATTTGAAATACTTCTCAATATGAAATAAAAATTTAAAACTTAAATTAATGAACTTAATGAAGGCCTAAAAATCCAAGAGAAACCACTYAGATCTCTAAAAATGGAAATGACACCTTAGCAGAAAAGTTTGATTATTCTTTTAAGCAATAGCAGTATGCATTTCGTCATCTCAGAACATCCTTACACTTACACAGAGACATCCCCTGGGGCCTCACACAGAAATCCAAACTGAAAATAGGCAATGTGTGAACCTGCCTCCCTTACAATATTTTAAAAGGATGCTTACGTAAATAGCTGAGCTTATTTACACTTATGACCTAATTCTGAAGAAGTAGATTGAAACTACGTTGTATAAATTTCAATCCAAACATACAAATAAAACCAGAGAGTTAATTTCTTAGATTCAGAGAAACTACACTAACAGRAAATAATAAAATATAAATTCAAGCATGCTTCATAAATTCACAAGTAAAACTCCAGAATGTTATAAAGCACTTACACAGCCTTTTGTTAATTTTCATTCATCAAAATAAGTGCTTAAGTATGTGTTTAAATTACACATGTTCTTCACTGAATTTAATTTTATCTTAGAGTGAACAACTTCTATATGATTATAAATGCATTTAAGAGCACCCTTTGTATTAATATTACTGAAAAAAAGTAAGTTTGGTACCATGGTCATTATCTAGGTTTGTATGAACATAATATTTTTACTAGATATTTCTGGATATTCTTTCCCCCCCAAAATATTGGTATTTTTTTACACTGGCTCGTATACTGAGGATTTCTATTGTTACACAGGAACTGCACAAACACAAAGCAGACTTGTTACTCTGTTTGCTTCTGGACTGACTCCCAGCTTGCACATTTAGACAGGGTTAATAAAAATTTAGATTATGTCTGGATTTTAAAGACGGAATTGAGACTAGTAAACAGATGATATTCATCTATATTTACTGTGTGTTCATAAAGGTTCAAGCAATGTAACCAGAATTTAAGCTTGGCAAAGGCAAACTCCTAACGTTTTCCTCAGCAATTCCTCCGGAAATTACAGCAGAAACATACAATACTATACTCTGACTTAAATGTTAGAATTTGGTGAAAAATCATTAAATTTATCTGAGTCACTTTACAGGAGATGGTTCAAATTAATAGCAGTAKAGCCTTGGACATAAAAGATTTGACCTCAAATGGTTCAGACATTCTGCCTTCTAAGCACTTTCTTCCTGTGTTCTTCATGACCACCTTGTATGTGACTGA